GCTCTTCTGGAAGCATTGGCAACAATAAAGGCTCATCATCCTAACTGGTTAGTCCTTTGGATGGGGTCACTGTTTGGCTGAAAGGGTGTAGGAATCTTCTTGAGATCTTATACTAATGGTGGACAGTGTCCTTGTTGCAAAGCTAGGGGAATGGGATGTGTGTGTCTCACTTTGAAAAACTCCTTTAAATAGCCAAAATTTTATTGAAATCTGATTTTATTTAAAATCTTTATTTTGCATCATTTATTTACTCTGTTGATAAGCTGAGAACATTTATAACTAACCTCTGAGTTTTAGCAGTTTTTAAAGATGAAGTATTCGTGTTTTGTCATTTTTCATAATGTGACTTAAATATGATCTGTCTAGGCACGAGATTTAAAGATGAATATACTTGATGATTTATTTGCATTGCTTATTTCCACTTGTTATTTCAATGTATTAAAAGATCAATTGTGAAAAAAGGTTCAGAAAGTGTAAATGAAATGTTAAGTGACCTACCAGAATTATACCATACATTGTGTGAAACATTTAAACAGTGAAAAAGTAACTATTTACAAATATATTAAAATGTTATTATAAAAAATTATTACCTGAATGCAATTTTAAAAGTGTGTTCTTTATTAGCAATTTTCCAATTTCTTTCATATTATGTTCATCATAAAAATCTCTCCTTAAATTGAAAATAATGTAAAACTATGCCATGAGTACTGCAACTCAAGGTTTAATGGTGTTCACTACTCAGCATGGACACTTGCTCTAGAAGCTAAATACACGGAAGTTATACACCTTATCAGTGCCTTTGTTAATGTCAAATCATGATGCTGATTATTCTGTTAGCTTAGTGTTTATTTAAAATGTGTAGTATAATATCAAAGTTTATTGTAATGCCATGTTTAGATTTTTATCAACGTAATTGACAACTATATTTATTTGAAAGTGTAATTGAAGAATTTTGAAAAATATATACACTCATGAACCTGCCACAAATGTCAAAGTGCAGGACATTTTCCCCATCCCCAGATGTTCCTCCTGTTCCCTTGTTATTCATTCCTTGCTCTATCCTTGGCCTCAGGGAGACCCAGTCAGCTGTCTGTCACTCAGTTTCATATTCATAAGTGGAATTCTACAGGATGTCCTCTTTATGTTTTGTCAATTTTGGCATTTTGCAATTGCTGATACAATATGTATTTTTTTTTCCAGAAACACTGTTATTTGGGTGTGAATCTGCAAAATGAATTCTTTCCATCATAGGGGAGCGCACATTGGACTATGCCTGCAGTTCTGCCCCCAGTCCTCATGTTTCATGTTTCATGGGCTGCTAAAGGAAGCACCTCAGGTTGAGTGTCTTTGAACAATAGAAATTTATTCTTTCACAGATGTGAAGGCCAGAATTCCCAAATTGAGGTGTTGGCAGGGCCGTGCTCCCTCTGGGACACTGGGCAGAACGCGTCCTTGCCTCTTCCAGCTGCTGATGTTAGCTCTCCGTTCACGGCATTCCTTGGCAGTCTCTCCGGTTCCTCCAAGCTCTGCCCTTGCTGTCTCTGTCTCTGTGTGGTATTTCCCCTCCTGCTAAGGACACCAGTTTGTTGGATTTAGGGCCTCCCATAACTGATCTGACCTCATCTTTGCTAATTACATCTGCAAAGACCCTTTTTTCCAAATAAGGTCTCATGCACACATGACAGAAGTGAACTTAAGCACGTCTTTTTTGGGGACACAATTCAACTTATAGCACCCAGTTCTGTCATACGTTCAGGATGCTAAATATCTCTGGGATGCTTGTTTTAAATGATACCCCCATGGAAAGCCCAAAAATCGCCAGCAACAGTTTCCAGGACAAAAGGCAAGAAAGCATGTGGTAGGATGAGTTCTTGCTACTGGGCAAGACTCCAGTAACGGGAAGACGCCAAGGGTTTGACTGCCTCGTGCAGCCCCACACATCATCCCAGCGGCCTGCCGTCTTACAGTGTGTGCCACTGAGAGAGAAAATGCAGTGTCACAGAGAGGTTGGGTATCTGGAAGGGCATGAGTGTGGGCACAGATGCAATTTCAAATCTAGTTGCCATATTGAAAGAAATGGAATAAAATAGGCACAATCGGTTTTAATGATATAATTTCTCCAACTCGATTTTCCTAAAAATTGTCATTTCCATGTGTAATCAGTATAAAAATATGAATGAGCCATTTGACATCCTCCCTTTTGTAGTAAGCCTTCAAATCTTGTGTGTATTTCACATTTACAGCACATCTCAATGTGGTGCTCAGTAGCCTCACCTGGCCAGTGGCTGCCATATTGGGCAATGTGTGTTGGGGGGCAGCACTGGGGGGGGGCGTCCTTTTGAGATGAGTGACTTGTGCCATTTAAACATCAGTGGCCAGATCCCCAATGATTGGAGCCCATTGGCTGAGCCGGTCTCTACGGAGCAATGCACAGTTTGCAGAATGTTTCATACAAGCCATCTCTGTCTTTGCAGTGCACCTGTCGGAAAGGGGTGTCATGATGAGGAGGAGGGGCGTGAGGGGGAGGAGGATGCTTTGGCAAGTGGGAAAATAGACCGGGAGCATTTGTTTTGCTTGCCCGAAGGCATTCATTAGGAAGTGGTAGAGTCAGGACGGAGGCTCATGTCCTTACTGCAAAATGGGTCCTCACACACCTCGTCTGCCCTCTTGCCACAAGGAAGATCAGCGATAGGACCGGATGACCTCTCACGGCCCTTCTGCTGCCAGCACTGCCTGGAGTTCTCTGTCTGCACCATCTTTGGCCCAAACGGTGCACGTGCAAACATGCTATTTGGCAGCCAGTCTTCAACGCTCACAACAGCTGTGAGTTTGGGCTCTCTGCATTTCCATAGCTTCAGTGTTTGGCTGGAGGAATGATTAATGATAAAAGAAGAAAACAAATGGTTTGAAATCCAGATACTTCAGCCAAGTATCATATGGCTAAGTCCCAGTTGTTATAAATAATAAAATAATGACATCACTCTCCTCTGTGATCCAATATGGTGTGAGAGGAAAACAAATTATCATTTGTGAGCTCTAGCTATGTTTTATATTGTTTTACTTCTTTTCAACGTGTTTTTCTCAGTTGTTTCAACACGATGAGCTGTATTCCTGTCAGTTTCATCTCAGCATTCAGCATATAAAACATTCCTCAGCTCACTTGCAGATACATTTTATTTGCTTTTCCAATTGCTGAAAAAGCTCAGAACACAGTTGGAACTTAATTCCCCTGATGCCAAAGCTCTGGTGACATAGTGGGTGGGTAGTTTTGAAGAATTAGGTGCCACAGCACATCTTCAGGGACACATCCCTGAGCCTGAAAATGGAAAGCTTCAGAAAGCAAACATGCAGAGAATGCAGTCTGAGGAACTATATTTCACCATTTACTTTAGTCTGGTTTAAAAATTTAATCAGACACATCAGTAGCTTATTTTGAAAAGGCACCACTTTCCCACTGACTAACAAAAGCAATATTCATTCATTCATTCTGCCACATGAATTAAACGCTCCCCAGGTGCCAGGCTCGTGCGGGGTTTTAGTGAATCGGACCTGAGTCAGAGTCCTCATCTTTAAGAGAGTTTATTTTAATAGGCTGGAACACATACAAACAAATAACGTGCTTTTAGACCCAACAGTCTCAGGGTAAAAGTAACAGGTAAAAAGAGTGAAGGTGAAGTCTGCATAGGTGTTTGTATGTGACAATGCACTTCCAGACACATTATAACATTTTCTTTTTTTTGAGACACAGTTTTGCTCCATCATCCAGGCTGCAGTGCAGTGGCACGATCACAGCTCACTACAGCCTCAAACTCCTGGGCTCAAACGGTGTTCCTACCTTACCCTCTCAGGTATCTGGGACTACAGGCACGTGCTACCATGCCCAGCTAATTTTTTAAAAGATTTTTATAGACACAGGTTCTCACTAGTTGTCACTATATTACCAGGGCTGGTCTCGAACTCCTGGCCTCAATCCATCCTCCCTCCTTGGCCTCCCACAGTGCTGAGATGACAGGTGTGAGCCATGGTGCGTGGCCAAGGTTTTATTCTTGTAACTGCTTTGTGCTGTGTTATGTCTCCACTTTCCAGATGAGAGAAGGAAGGCTCAGAGCCACATCGAAGCTTCCTCGGCAAGGACGGCAGTCACTGGGAACCCTGCCCCTCCCCGGAGGGGCCGCTTCTCCCCTGCCCCTGACTGACTGTTCAGACCCGCTTTGTGGATGGAGTTGAGGCTGTCTCTCTGGTTCCTGTGTCAATACCTTCTGAATGATCTACAGCCACACTTCTCTTTCCCTGCTTTCACCTCGTTCTGGAAGTTGAGGGTTGACAGGGAAGCTAAGTGTTTGATTTCATTTAATTTAACAACTTTAAATAGCCACCTGTGGCTGGTGGCTACCTCAGTCTTTTTCCATCTCAGCTCCCGGGGCTCCATCTCTTCCATGAACAAATCACAGGCACATGGAGGCTCTTGGTCCCGATTCCAAATAGCCAGAAAAGCATCTCTAATCATCTGAGATCAGGTCAGACACTCCCTATCTATGTTATTTTACATATTTTTCTCTTTATATGTGTTTCTCCCACTGGACTGGAGTAGCCTCGAGAGTAGGAGTGGCGTCCTGTGTATGGGGTCCTCAGAATGCAGTGCAGCCTTTGGCAGGGAAAGTACACTCGCGACTGAGTTCAGCCAAGAAAGTATTGATACCTAATATGTTCAAGGTCTTATGCCAGGCACTCCACAAAGAGGACGACAGACCTAGACCCTACTCTCAGAGAACTCACAGTCTAGTTTCACCACTGGAAGACGCAAATGCAATTTAATAAAATCACAGGAAGAGCCTAGCATATTTCAGTCAACGAGCAAGTGTCAGAAGGGCATTTCTGGGCTGGAGTTTGTCTATCAGTGTGTCCAAAGAGGAGGAGATTTCCTGGGGGCAGAAACAAAGTTTGAAAAGGGAATATGAAGGAATATGTGGGAGTTTAGTGCGGCTTCTCGGGGCGATGAGGGCTGAGTCTGCAGAGGGAAGCTGGGTAAGTCATCCAGGACTCTGCAGGCGCGTGCAGCGTTTGAGCTTTATCCTAAAAGCAACAGAAAGCCGTTGAAGTGGACTAGACGGGGCGATGAGAGTCAGCTCTGTGTTCTATGAGGCTGTTTTGACTCTACAGTGGAATACAGATTGGAGGGGTGGGGCAGCTTTGGGGCTGTTTATAGGTTTTTGGAGGCTGTGGAGTAGTCCAGGTGGGATAAAGCTTTGGATGAGGATTAAGGCTGTGGCAACAGAGAACCATGGGTGGACTCAAGATGCGCAGGAGTCACCCGTCGATAAAAGCTGGAGAACGTGGCATTGGTGGCATTGGTGGCATTGGTGGACATGGGAGCTGAGGTAGAGGGGGAGTCAGTCAGGGGTCCCGCCAGGTTCCTGGCTTGGGCAACATCTGGAACAATTAAGTCACCCACCAACCCTGGCAGTATGGGAGCAGGAGCTGGCTGGGCCTGAGAACAAGGAGTTATTTTTGGATATGCCTACTGGGAGAGCCTGTGGAGGTGACTAGGGGACAGCTGAACATAGAATTGCTGTATTAGTTTGCCAGGGCGTCTATAACAAAGTACCACAAACTGAGGGGCTTAGGCAGTGACATTTATGTCCTCACAGTTCTGGAGGCTGGAAGTCTGAGATCCAGGTGTTGGCATGCTGGTTCCTTCTGAGGGCAGGAGGGAGGTCATTCTATTCTCTCTCCTTGCTTCTGGAGGTTTGCTGAAAACCTGTGGCATTCCCTGGCTTACAGGTCACTGCCTTCATGTTCACATGGTGGTCTCCCTGTGTGTGTCTGTCTCCAAATTTTCCCTTTTCATAAGGACACCAGACGTACTGGGTCAGGGCCACCCTACTTTAGTATGACCTCATCTTAGCTAATTGCATTTGCAATGACCCTATTTCAATATAAGGTCACATTCTGAGGTGCTGAGGGTTAGAACTTCAGCATCTGAATTTTGGAAGAACCTGATCTGCTGTGGTATGAATATCTGTGTCCCCCCCACCCCAGATTTATATATTGATGTCCAAATGCAAAAGCAATAGTAATAAGAAGTGGAACCTTTAAGAAGGAATCAGGTTATGAGGACGGAGCTCTTATTGGGAGTAGTGCCCTTAGAAAAGACGAGGAAGGGATCTGTTTGCACCTTCCACCACGTGCGGACCATTTTTGAAGCCAGAGAGAGCCACCCCTCATCAGACACAATCTGCTGGCAGCTTGATCTTGGACTTTCCAGCCTGCAGAAATGTGAGCAATACATCTTCCTTGTTTCTAAATTACCTAGTCTAAGGTATTTTATTGTACCAGCAGGAATAAACTAAGACACAATTTGACTCATAACAAGGTCAGCTGGAGGTGCAGTCTTTGGATTCGTTGAGGTCACTCAGAAAGTGAAAGTGGAGTCGGAAGCCACACTAGCTTGTGGAGGAGCATCACCCTCTAAGACTTGGGTTGAGGAACAGGAACTTAACAGGGGAGTTGAGAAGGAGCTTCCAGAGAGGAAGGGAAAACACAAGGAGGGTGTAAAGTACCAGGAGATGGGGAGGTGGGATCAGTAGCGCCAGATGCTCTTGACAGTCCGAGGAAGTTGCAATAGGGCCGGGGCTGGTCAGATTTCACATCCAATGGCTCTAGGCAGGGTCCAGAATGCAGAGAGAGGATTTGGCCTTTAGAGGAGACACAAAGCTTCCTTTGCGTAGAAGGAGAAATCTCAGCAGAGGCTAGAAAGTGAGACACTGCATGGTGTATCTGGGCATTGGGACCTAGTGTGAGGCGGGTGAGGTGTAGTCCAGGGATAGGCACATTAGGAGTTGAGGCTGAAAAACGTGATGGAGACGTTATTACAAAGGTTGCAATATGTCAAGCTGAGGCTTGAGATTTCCACACTAAAAGCAGCTGACTTTTAGTGGTTCTCTAACATTTAAAGGATAAAGATCTTAAAGGATTTAGCCTATGCTTTGTATTCAATATTGTTTCAGTAAATATTGTGGATGTGCTTGGCTGAATTTGATTGGGCTACCTCTGCCCATCCTGACCTTGTCTTTTGAATATATGAGAAGTTTCGTTTGTATCCATGTAAATATAGACTTTTCCACTGGCAATAAATTTCACAAAGAATCTTTGTATTTAGGATTCATTGAAGATTACCCAAGTATAAAAGTTATCGATGAACTCACAAATCACATAATCTAATCAGTAAACCTATAGAAGAAAAAGAAAGTGCTAAAGTCATTATTCTTTTCAAGAAAACGGAGTCCTCTTTTTCTCTGAAAACAAAAATTATGCATGCTGATTGTGTAAATTACTTATGAAAGCATAACACTTTAAAATAATCCCTCTAATCCCAGCACCCAGAGTTGACGGCATTATCGTTTTGATGTAATCTCCTTGGGTAAAGAGTCTGGAGGCTCCACTTGTAAAGGGAATCAAAAAGACAAGAGTTTGCTGAGGCGGATCGTCGGTCTGGGCCTGCAGGAGATCTGACGTTTACAGCCACAATATGTGTGCAGAGCTGTCTGCTCCAACATCCTCATGAACAGGAAGGTGGCGTGTCTGGATGGCAGAGAAAGGAAACAAGACCTGCATCCCTCAGCAGCTGCTTCTGAGGCCTCGGCAGGACATGCTGTCCAGCCCAGGGTGAGGAGCCAAGGCATGGACCAGCCTGCCGAGCCTTGACTCCTAGCTGGGCAGGAGCTGGGGCGTGTTAGCCAGGGGTCTCTAGAGGGACAGAACCAATAGGAGATATGTGTACATACAGGAGGGGGGATTTATTAGCGGGGATTGACTCACATGTTCAGAAAGGTGAAGTCCCACTTGTGACTTGTGTCAACTTGATTGGATTGAAGGGTGCAAAGTACTGATCCTGGGTGTGTCTGTGAGGGTGTTGCCAAAGGAGATTAACATTTGGGTCACTGGACTGGGATAGGCAGACACACCCTTAATCTGGGTGGGCACCATCTAATCAGCTGCCAGCTTGGCTAGGATAAGAGCAGGTAGAAGAATGTGAAAAGACTAGACTGGCCTAGCCTGCCAGCGCACATCTTTCTCCCATCCTGGATGCTTCCTGCCCTCAAATGTCGGACTCCAAGTTCTTCAGCTCTGGGACTCAGACTGGCTTCCTCGCTCCTCAGCTTGCAGACTGCTTATTGTGGGACCTTGTGATCCTGTGAGTTTAATACTCCTTAATAAATTCCCCATTATCTCTCTATCTATCCTATTCTGTCCCTCTAGAGAGTCCTGACTAATACACCCACCACAGGATACCTGCAGGCTGTCTCTCTGGCTCCCTAGTGCCATTCCTGGGGAGGCTGGTGGCATGGCTCAGTCCAAGTCCAGAAACCTCTGAACCAGAGAGGCCTGGCAGCAGTGCAGCCCCTAGTCCAAGGTCAAAGGCCTGAGAGGCCCCAGGAAGCTGCTGGTGCAAATCCCAGAGTCCAAAAGCCAAGGAACCTGGAGTCTGATGTCCAACGGCAGGAGGAGAAAAGGACATCCTGCCAGGGAGCTGGCTGAGCACTTCCCCTTTACTCCTGCTTTGTCCGAGCTTGGCCCCCAGCCCACAGGACGGTGCTGCCCACATTGAAGGCAGGTCCTCCTCCTGCAGTCCACAGGCACATGCTCAGCCCTTGCTGGAAACACCCTTACAGACACACCCAGAAGCAGAGCTTTACCAGGGATGTCTGGGCATCCCTCAGTGTCAGGTTGACACCTGTTACCAACCATTGCGTAGAGTGAGGGGAGTCTTGGCATTGCTCAGTAAACAAAGAGGCAGGGCCCTGCCTGGTCCATCCCAAGGGTCCGCTGCATGTTAGCTGTTGTTATTAGCTTGTTGGTTGATTCTTTCCTGCTCTCATAGTTTGTCTCCTTGAGATTTTGCAGGAGGCACATGGAGGAGAATGTGTGGGCACAGGTCCTGACTCAGCCTGACCCACCGGCTGGCGCACCCTCCCCATGGTGTGTGTGCAGCTTGAGGCCAGGTAGTTAGTGCACTTTAAAGCAGCACGTTTCTGTGAGAATAAGGCATTTAAGAAAAATCCTTTCATGGCCAGGTGTGGTGGCTCACACCGGTAATCCCAGTACTTTGGGATGCCGAGGCAGGAGGATTGCCTGAAATCAGGGGTTTGGGAATAGCTTGGGCAACATGCCAAGACCCTGTCTCTACAGATTTTTTTAAATTAGCTGGGCAGGGTGGCACACACCTATTGTTCCAGGTTATATTACTCCATTTTCATGGTGCTGATAAAGACACACCTGAGTCTGAGCACTTTGCAAAAGAAAGAAGTTTAATTGGACTTACAGTTCCACTTGGCTGGGGAAGCCTCACAATCATGGTGAGGAGCAAGGAGGAGCAAGTCACATCTTATATGGATGGCGGCAGGCAAAACATGGGAGAGTTTGTGCAGGGCAATGCTTCTTTTTAAAACCATCAGATCTTATGAGACTTATTCTATATCATGAAAAAAGCATGGGAAAAACTTGCCCCCATGGTTCAGTTACCTTGCAACAGGTGTCTCCCACAACACATGGGAATTCAAGATGAGATTTGGGTGGGGACAGCCAAACCATAGCACAGGTGCTTTGGAGGTTGCAGTCAGCCCTGATCTTGCCACTGTAACTCTAGCTTGGGCAACCGAGTGAGACCCTGTCTCTAAAAAAAGAAAAAAAATCTGTCTTAGGCTGGTGTATCATGGCCATTTTTCAAGACATTGAGGACATTTTAGGGCTACAGAGGGGGGTGGCCTTCTCAGCTATAAAAATAACTCTATATTATTTTTTAAAAATTTTAAGTGGCCCACCCCAGGGCTTCCTTAGGATCCCATGAGGTTACACACGCACACACAAAGCAGAGGTGTCTGACTTTCACAAGGTGCTTAGGGCCTACCCATTGTCCTCATCAGACCTGGCACACACCAGAGCTTTTCTCCTTTGAGAATTGGATGCACTTTGCAGGCATGGGGAGAACCAGGAGAAATTCCAGTGCTGAGGTAGCTCTCCTACCTTGTTAAGGGGGTCATTTAGTTCAATGAAAGATGCAGAAAATTAGAGGAAAAAGTTTGTTTTGTGGATAGAGGTAAAGAATAATCATTCTTACGGATTATTTCGTAATGAAAACTGCCCAGTGTTTAGAACACACACTTTTACCCGCCCTTCTAGCTGGATGAGTTTTACCAGATGTCCTCAAGCAAAGGTATTTTATGGCAGGATTGTTTGTGGGTAGGACTTATCTGCAGAATTTTCATATTCTCCTAAAGCAAAATCTGTTGCTTTTTTTTTTTGCCTCCTGATAATTCTGCTCATTGATAAGCTAAAGATGTTTCTGAGTAGGAGGCATCATTTTGTATTTTCTAAGCAGCTCTGTGCACTTTAATTCTTTGTTGTTTTGGGAGGATTTATGTATATACATAATATACACCAAAATATCCGCATGTGTACGTATATTCTGCCATAAGTAGTGTGGAAATTGTTAGTGTACATTGTTTAAAGTCTTCAGAGTTAAACCCCTTTTCCCGGTCTGTACACACGCTGATGTTAAGCTGGGTGGTGGCTTCCACAATGAGGCCTGCTGGCACACCATTTTCACCCTTCCTCCTTCCACTTCTTCATAGCAATATCCATTCAGATAATTTCAGGAACTGTAAGAAATCTCTATCTACTGCACTCCTATAATTAGATAATCATGCGTTTTACCCATGTGACTTTTCTTAATTTTTCTCATAAAAGTTGTCAAAGATGATCCCTTGGCTGAACTGGACCACAGCCCTTGAAGTAAATAAAAAGTCATTTTTTGTTTTTCTGCTTACAGATCCTAGACTACAGCAGCCATTCCTCATACTATTTCAGAGTCACTGTGTTCAGCTGATGACTGTAAATTAATGTAGAGGCTGAGGCATAGTACAAGCTAATGATGTTGAAAGTGGATGTGAAACCGTGGAGAAAGTATAGCAATTTTGGACTAATAACCGTTGTAGCTGGAGTGAAAAACGTTCTTCCTAACCATGCAGGTTCTGTCATTTTTGCCTAATGAGATGAGAATAAGGAAGTTGGATGCTGAGCTTCTTAGAATTAATGGGATCAGGGCTGGAGTGAGGCGCGTCCGACTCAGTGTGCGAGTGTGCTGTGTGAGTGTGCTGTGCGACTCCTTTCTCAAAGATCTGGAATTAATAGCTGCCGTCTCGCTGTTCCCTGAACGTGCCCTGTGTTTTCATATCCCCTACCTTTGCTCATGCTGTTCTATTAAGAAGCCTTTTCCCCCGCTCCTTTGACTGATCAAAACCAATTTGCCCTTTGAGGCTGCCTCAGAACCGGTCTCCTTTGGGCCAGTTGTGTGTTTCTGGACAATGTTGTTCGTATTTCAACCAGGTTTTCACCAGACAGAGCCTGTCTCACTAGGAATGTGCCTATGTCCTGCTCCTGAACTCTTTATTTATTATTTTTTATTTCTATCCTGGCTCATTAGAAACAGGATCGGAGCGATACCCAGGCTACGACTCCTGTGGATGTGGGGCTTCCTCATCCCTGTGTGACTAGACGTGGGGCCTAGCACGCCCAGTGCTTGTTAGAGGCACCGACATGCACACCCATCTTCCCTTTCCAGAGTCTCATTTTCTGGGAAAATTGTTAAGACAGAACAGGTTGACCATTCATTTAAAACCCGAGGCATAAGCGACTGGTAGCTGATTCTATTTTTAAAGCCCTTCAAATATCTTTTGTTTGTAGACTAAATGAAGAATGGTTATGGATTAAATACAGGAGTGGCAAAAAAAACAAGGGATGTTCTGTTTTGTATAGTCAAGCCAACCAGATTGCCATAGATTAATTGTTGCAATTTAGTATAAAGTCAACTGTACAGCAATTGGGTGTGTCCAACTTGGAGTACAATTCACTGGGCTAAATTTTATGCTTGCAGACAGACATGGCACTCCTGTTTGTTTTAGCAAAGGTTACCATCATACATCTCATGGCAGAACTTTGCCCAGGGGATCTTATTATTTTTGAAGCATGTTTAGTGTTATATTTTTTTTTTTTACCCAACTGGAGATAATATCCTCAAAGGAAAGAATATTTTCTCATTAAATGGCCCAAAATGAGTAAGATCACATGGAAGGAGGGCTATTACCTAAAAAATGTTCTAAGGTTATTTTGGTTATTTGGGAAAAAAATGTGAAAAGGAAAGATATGGAAGCATAATAGGTATAATAACCAGGTAATAATACAATATAAAAACGCTTTGGATTTTATCTTCTTTTGAAGCTTTATCAACTATTTCCCTGGTATGTGTAGCATACAATAGCAATTAAAAAATCTCAGTATGATTTCTTTTATAAGGTATAAATACACATCATATTCAGAAAAATGAAAAGTTTGAGATGACAATCTGTGGTTTTCTAATTTTTTTCTTCAACTTTCATTTTAAGTTCAGGGGTACATGTGCAGGATGTGTGGTTTGTCACATAGGTAACCGTGTGCCATGATGGTTTGTGGCACACATCATCCCATCACCTAGGTATTAAGCCCAGCATCCATTAGCTACGCTTCCTGATGCCCTCCCTCCCCTCATACTCCCCCTCCAACAGGGCCCAATGTGTGTTGTTCACCCCCATGTGTTCATGTGTTCTCATCATTCAGCTCCCACTTATAAGTAAGAACGTACAGTGTTTGTTTTTCTGTTCATGTGTTAGTTTGCTGAGGATAACAGCTGCCAGCTCCATCCATGTCCCTGCAAAGAACATAATCTCTTTCCTTTTTATGGCTGCATAGTATTTCATGGTGTATATGTACTACACTTTCTTTATCCAGTCTACCATTGATGGGCATTTAAGTTGATTCCATGTCTTTGCTATTGTGAACAGTGCTGCAATAGACATACATGTGCATGTATCTTTATAATACAATGACCTATATTCCTTTGGGCATATACCCAGTAATGGGATTGCTAGGTCAAATGTACTTCTGTTTCTAGGTCTTTGAGGAATCACCACCGTCTTCCACAATGGTTGAACTAATTTACACTCTTGCCAACAGTGTAAAAGTATTTCTTTTTTTCTCACAACCTCACCAGCATCTGTTGTTTTTTTGGCTTTTTAATAATAGCCATTCTGACTGGAGTGAGGTGGTATCTCATTGTGGTTTTGATTTGCATTTCTTTAAAGCCTGATGTTGAGCTTTTTTCTCATATGTTTGTTGACCTTATGCACGTCTTCTTTGGAGAAGTGTCTGTTCATGTCTTTGCTCACTTTTTGATAGGGTTGTTCTTTTTTCTCATACATTCATTTAAGTTTCTTGTCAACTCTGGATATTAGACCTTTGTCAGATGCATAGATTGCAAAATTTTTCTCCCATTCTGTAGATTGTCTGTTCACTCTGATGATAGTTTCTTTTTCTGTGCAGAAGCTCTTTAATTAGATCCCATTTGTCAATTTTAACTTTTGTTGCAATTGCTTTTGGCATTTTTGTCATGAAATCTTTGCCTGTGCCTAT